CAGTTTTGTAAAATGAAATACCGTTTTTCAGATTATACTATTTTTTACGACAGTTTATAGGGCGTCAGTAAACCCCTCACTGCTAACGTGTTGTACACAAGTCCTTTAAAACACGTTTAACCTGAATTAACTATGCTTGTGAGTACGAGTCTATCTAATATCTCATGATCTTCAAACGCCTTTCCTTCGTCGTCACCGGTATATCATGGTGAGGAGTATTGATTCATATGGAAGCGTGATCGTTGTATAATTGGTGTAAACGTAGATATTCCTGAAGATCTGCATCTGCGCAATCAATGTATGTAAGGAGATATAAATCAACTCATTTTCACATCCTCATAATATCAAAGATTGACTTATTTAATTTATTGTCTTAGTTTTGGAGTGCGACCTAAAAACTTTCATTGCTAATTTCACAATGCATTTTTTAGTTTTCATGGTCCTCCCTGCGACGTTTCAGTAAATTCACCTACAAATGTGATGAAAACCTCATAGGCAAAACAAAATACTTCTCACAACTAGCCCGCACGTTTTTAATATTAACGTTATTTACATTTTTACTAGTGAAATATATAACTTGCACATACAATTATCAATCTTTCTAGTGTGAATAGTATAACCAATGTGTTACTCTTCAAAGAGACAACCAGAGAGCAACAAGGACATGTCGATCTGTTAGAACTGTGACGTCATAATAAAAAAGGTCGCGCAATGTCGTTTGACGCGCCACACTAGTATAACAATTAACTTGAAATATTCATTGAAAATGTAATAAATAAACATCCATCTTGTTTCTGGATGAGTACCAGCTCGTGGAATCAATTAAACAAACATACATGAAATAGATATACTTATTTGAACAAAAAGCTGAATACTGATAAATTACTAATTAAAATTTTCAAGTGATCAAACTATTTCAATATCGCAAACATAAGAATTTAACTAATTTCAGTAGACAGTCATTATGAATAACAACTGGAAATGAGCGCTGGCGCAATATACACGAACCTCATCTGGATGCTATTGATTATGGAAATTGTAATTGAAATCATAGCCCGCGTGAAGTAAATACATCTTCAGCAATTAAAAACGGCCAGTAACTACGGATTTATGTTTCTCTGATTGCTGTGGAGTTTGTATTAAATGTTGTAGTCCAGCTTTAAATAGAACTACACTATGTCCTATGCTATATTGATATCATGACAGAACTTGTGCCATAGGTATACTGTAAAACCAACTTCTAGTACAATAACACATCGTTGACAATATCATGTCCATTTAGGATTTATGCTTGGACCTTTTCCGATGTGTAGGAAGTATTTTATACAAAGACATTCCAGGGTTTCAAATGCCATCTGCCGTCACCATTGATGACTATTTATTTATTTAACCAATTATTTATATCATTCATCTATTTGTGGAAGGGAACGTTTTACCGAGTGTTGATATAATCCCTAAAATGTCTAAGTATACTCCCAATCCATCAGAAAGAAGTCCAAATATACATATTGTAGTTACTTTTCGTGCCTCTGTGGTTAACATGTCTTTCGTTCAGATTCAGATTGTTTTATTCCTTGTGTAAGACACATTGGAGAGTAGAATACAAATAGTACAGTATATATATATATATATTACAAATTTATAATGATACATGTATACAATAATAGTCAAATGTAATATGATGGATATTGTACAATGGCATACGTGATAACTCATTAATCGTGCAGTACTACAAAATGACAAATCATAAGAGACAGCATTTTACACTGAAATACACCAACATCGTAAGGTTCCGATACAGTGAAATCATAACAATAGTATATTACAATGATAATACTACAATGATAACTTTCAATGACGTACGTTACAGGTAATGATAACTGGTTTAATATAGTTACATACACTGTATCGCACATATGTCACGAATAAATACAATCTAGTAGAACAGTAAAGAACAATAAAATACACTGCCATAGTGTAATAAAACCGATGTTACACCTGACGTTAGTGACAGTGATATATAGAAAATACTCGTCGATGTTTCGACGTTGTTAATTATGATTAATTTACCATATATTTTTTATCACATAGGAAAGGTAATGAACGGGTACAATCATCTTTTTTTAACACAATACACATAATACAAATATTTTATCAAATATGGTATACTGAAATGTACATTTACAGGAAAAATGGGATAAAATAGTATACAGTTTATATGTTAACGTTTTGAGTAGTAAATAACTGAATCAATTTGAAAACACTTGGTCGTTTGTAATAAAAAGGGTTAATAAGCTCGCGCCTTAATTAAGTCGTTTTAAAAGTTACACTTTAATATAAAATGAAATTCATCTTCAATATCATTAGAGTTACATAAGTTACAGAATCTTTGTTCTCTAGGAAGGTTTCTATATCTTCCCTGTTCAATATTTCAATTATGAGAGCCAAGTCTAAAGCGAGCTAAAGTCTTTCGTTCACACAGCTTGTGTTCTGTCACCTAGGTGTCGACCGTACTGCTCGTTTTAATTTATTAATTAAAAGCTCAGTTTAATCACCAAGACTAACCTTCTAAGGTAATTAAAGCGACACAGGCACATTCACCAGCCTTTGTGTCCGTTGATCGCCCAGTACGCCTTCTCCTGATCGAAAACTGTAAACAATTACACTAAATTACAAATCGATATACACCAAGTGACGTCATAAGGATAACAGTTCATAAAGCGTGGATGTCTTCATTAAATGACTTAATGTAACGACATAAGCTATCGTGTACGATCAATATTGCATTAAAGTGTGTCTTAATTGATTACATTATAATTAAATACTCGAAAATATGCTTTTCTCTAACGTAACTACTCCATCGAAATGGGCTGAACTATTGTACACATTTTTTAAAATTAGTTTTTCTTTATTTGTCCTCCACTATAAACCCAATTAAGCCCCTTCCTCCGTACATATATGAATCAATGAATATAGGGCATTGACAGACAGATTTACCTGATATATGTGTCTTGAATCATGCTACAGTTCATCATGAGGTGAACTGCCATATGTGAACTAACATATAGGACTAATAAAAATACTTCAAAATTTCACATTACTTCACTACATAGAAAATCAAATCCAGAACATGTTTCGGGTTACATGAGGAGCGGAACTTGATTTGGACAAACGCCGGCAACCAGGTAGCTCAATCGGTTAGAGCGTTCAGCGAGAGTTCGGAGGTCCCTGGTTCGAATCACGGTATGGCTTTTTCCTTTCCTGTTGAATTTATCGCCCAACTAAATATACCCACAGAATGTGGTATATGGTCTCGTGTGTCTTCGGGGTCGAATATTTTCTTAAATGAGGAAGGGGTGTAGCGTAACTGGACTGTTCGATCGCCGGCGACCAGATAGCCCAATTGGTCACAGCGTTACAGTGTTGGGAAAGAACTTGATAATCAAGGCATGACAGCGAGAAATCAGAAGACCAAACACGGGCACAAACATCCTCCAAATACAGAATTTATAGATTACCTCAGCATTACCCCATAGGTATACAACGCCGGTAGAATGGGTACTATCAGCCCCGGAAGAGGCTTCGAAGTTTTCAGAATAAAGTTCAAGCTTCAAAAGTCAAGGTATTTTATTAAACAGATGTTCAGCGGGGTCCGAAGTTGGATAGCGGACCAAGGATCTTTGTTAAAAACGCATGAGCAATGCAAAAGCGTCAGGCGTCAAGCAGTGGAAGGACTGCCGAGAACCATAAGCACGCACTTGCGGCGATGGATCGGCATTAAACCATGTTTCTTCGAAACAAGTCTCTTCAACAGAACATTCGAACTTCAGTTGCAATTGGCATTAGTCGTTGAGGTTTTCAATGTTCAGAAAGCTAGAATTTCATGAATATCCGTGAGTTTGCCGTATGATTGTTAAAAGATTTGAAACACCGAAATTCTTTGAGGAGTTTTGTTTAAGTTGGATATTGGAGGTTTTTGAAAGAAAATTATCCATCTTTCCATTTATACTAAGCAGCTTTTGTACATCAAGCAGAAATATGATTTTGGATAGGAGGAAATTAGATGGGGCCGATTTTCCACATCGAGAGCTTTCCATCCTACTAGTATATACAATCGTTGGGATGGCATTTTTACCAAGAGTTTATCTAAACTCCTAAACGTCTAATATTTCTTTGATCACACCAGTTTAGTTTCAAACAAATGTTGGGCCCCGTTGAGTGGACGGTCCTCGGACTCTTGGATTCTCTGTTATATCAACCACCCGACGCTGTTACTTCACAAGTTTGGTTTTGCAAACAGCATTCAACTCAAAATACACAGATAAACGTCAATAGCGCTAAAAAGAGGCCTTCAATGTCACTAACAGTGCTGGCCTTCTACTGCACAAGGCTCTAGTTACATGTCGGCTTTTAAACCACGGGTTGGACGTGAGGTGTGCCGTGCTACGATTGGTTGAGGACTGGGAAAAGGCCTTTGACAACCATGATTATATTGCTGCCATCCTCCTAACGGGTTTAAGATCCACCTACTGTTCATAAAGCTGGAATAATATCTTCTTTGTTGTAACTCTTCAAAACTGATAGCCAGTTACTTAAATAGCAGGAAACTGGGTGAAGACCCCCTCCCATACCATCCCCCTCCTCGCGCTGCACATTTATCACTGGGCTTACACATTTAAAATCCGTTTGTTACGCCCCTGCAACAACTGAGCCAAGGATATACCAGAGGTAAAACTGGATAACAAAATCACAAAAATAAGTGGGAAAAAAATGTAATTTAACATAGAATCCAATGGGAAAATGATGTAACGTTAATATACGACAAAACACATAGTGTCTTGAATCTTACATTTGTACTTGTTCTCTTTCTTTTTGTACATGTACATTTTGTATGTAGTATTATAAATGCATATAATTCTCGCCAAAGGCCTCGTTGAACGGATGAAGGGAGGCAACTCTTGTAATGCCAACGAGATAATAGTGGTGGCGCACCTGTTACCGGAAGTGAGACCTGTACAGTACGGCCAAGTTTGGAAAAAATGGTGACTTTGTCAACAAACTGACAGCTGTGAGAAAACACCTTAAAAGTACGACATGTGTTGATAGATAATATACAAACTGTCTTTTGTCGTCCATTTTGGGCAGGATGGCTGAACTACCCGGTCTACCACCCCTCCCGAAGTGTTTCAGTGATGTTGTGAACCTAAACCCATCATTGACAAGTTTTGAAGAAAAAGAAGAGGAGTCTACGTTAGGCGGCAGTATCAGTGACACGGAGTTCTCCAGTCTGTCCAGCCCAATGAGTCAGCCGGACGGCAGGGATAGCTTGCTTAGGGACGGCGACACCGACCTGCAATGCAATGCGTCGTACACCGGCTCTAGCGTCGATTCGGCCGTCCAGTCGCCCGAGGACCAACCGAGTGGCAGTGAAGAAATGTCGCCCTTCGTAAAGCTCAACACAGCTTTGTCTACTTTAAAGAATGAAATGGTAACATTAGTTTACAGAATGTGTCGTTTCTTTTAGAAAGAATATTATGTGAAAATACCTCGAAAATATTTCAGATAGGTTGATATGTACAGGCACGGAATTAGATAATGTTATCCAAGTCCGTGGTACAGGTGCTCGCTCGGGTTCTGGAATATATCACAGGTGGGTGAACATTCTGACTGAAAATTGAGATATATATATCATATAAAAAATAAGGGTATATTAATTTAACAAAGTATATAGTAATACAGAGACGTATAAAGCCCTTATTTTTTGTATGATTTTTCTCAATTTACAGTCCGAATTTCAAACACCTTAATATATGTGATATTTAGGTATCACACATCACTGTGAAAATAAATAATTGTATTCTAAAATATAACATTATTTGTTTATGCATCGCACCCCACTAGATATCGCACTATGGTTTATTAATAAGTAATACGTAAACAGATAAAGATAATATATTCCAGAACCCAAGCACCTGTGGTTGATACAGCTGTTGATAGGTCTAGATCTACGGCTATAGCTCTATTGACAGAATGTACTGGACATGACTAAATTTCAGGAATTTCCTGCTGTACAATGATCATCTTAGACGCATCAGGTAGAGAAATATGGCATGGATATGTGGAGTAAGTCAGAGAAGGAAATCTATCTATCTTTTAAACGATACCACACATATTACCTGAAATAATGACTCTTGAATCGAGCCAGTACTATATATTTGGGAGATTTCCATGGGGGAGATTCTGCATGCTCAAATCTAAAACCTAAATAAAATGTGTGTATTAAGGGTGACAGTTCCCAAATTGGATCACCAAACCATAATTTTATAAATCGTTGAAAAATCTGAGGAGGAATTATATTAATTTATGGTTGTATAAAAGAAAGAATATCGATGGGTGTTGCTACAAACGAAATTAGCACCCGGGGCTCACTTGAGATATTTATAGAATGCTCTGAAGTCACCAATCAGCATCTCCGGTTTTTGCAAATGTCAGGACCCAAAACGAATCAAGGCTTGAATTTTGCAGTATCGTATGCTTCAAATGAATATTTTTTTGTCAGCATAATAACATTTTATGATGACCTTTAGAATTTATATGACAAAAAGTATTTCTATAATGTGAATTTATTCCTATAGTCCGAAGCAGAGTGCATAGTCGTCGCATGCGCCATTTTTAGCTCACCTGGCACAAAGTGCCAAGTGAGCTTGTGCCGTGGCGCGGCGTCCGTCGTCCGTCCGTCCTCGTCCGTCAACTTTTCCTTTAAACAACTTCTTCTGAAGAACGGACAGGCCTAGAGTCATGATATTTGGCTGAAAGCTTCGTTGGTAGGAGCCCTACAAAGTTTGAGAACGAAAATGACCTTGACCTGTTTTCAAGGTCACAGGGGTCAAATATGTCAAAAACTTCAAACGACTTCTTCTAAAGAACTAAAAGGTATAGAATCTTCATATTTGGCTGATGGCTTCCTGGGATAGAGCCCAACAAAGTTTGAGAATGAAAATGACCTTGACCTACTTTCAAGGTCACAGGGGTCAAATGTGTCAAACACTTCAAACGACTTCTTCTGAAGAACTGAAAGGTATAGAATCTTTATATTTGGCTGGTGGCTTCCTGGGATAGAGACCAACAAAGTTTGAGAATGAAAATTAGTTTGACCTACTTTCAAGGTCACAGGGGTCAAATATGTCAAAAACTTCAAACGACTTCTTCTGAAGAATTAAAAGGTATAGAATCTTCATATTTGGCTGATGGCTTCCTTGGATGGAGCCCAACAAAGTTTGAGAATGAAAATTACCTTGACCTTCTTTCAAGGTCACAGGGGTCAAATGTGTCAAACACTTCAAACGACTTCTTCTGAAGAACTGAAAGGTATATAATCTTTATATTTGGCTGGTGGCTTCCTGGGATAGAGCCCAACAAAGTTTGAGAATGAAAACTAGTTTGACCTACTTTCAAGGTCACAGGGGTCATATATGTCAAAAGCTTCAAATGACTTCTTCTGAAGAACTGAAAGGTATAGAATCTTTATTTTTGATTGATGGCTTCCTTGGATAGAGCCCGACAAAGTTTGAGAATGAAAATGACCTTGACCTTCTTTCAAGGTCACAGGAGTCAAATGTGTCAGACACTTCAAACGACTTCTTCTGAAGAACTGAAAGGTATATAATCTCTATATTTGGCTTGTAGCTTCCTAGGAAAGAGCCGAACAAAGTTTGAGAATGAAAATGACCTTGACCTTCTTTTAAGGTCACATGAGGCAGATATGTCAAACACTTTAAACGACTTCTTCTGAAGAACTGGTAGTTATAAAATCTTAATATTTGGCAGGTGGCTTCCTGGGAAAGAGCCAAACAAAGTTTGCGAATGAAAATGACCTTGACCTACTTTCAAGGTCACAGCGTTCAAATATGTCAAACAGTTCAAACAGCTTCTTCTGAAGAATTAAAAGGCATAAAATTATAATATTTGGCTGGTGACTTCCCGGGATAGAGCTCACCAAAGTTTGCAAATGAAAATGACCTCAACCTACTTTAGAGGTCACAGAGGTCAACAACATTTTAATGGATTTGTTCTTGAGAACTAAAAGGAATGGATTCATAAGATTTGGCTGGTAGCTTTTCGGAATAGAGCTAACCAATTTGAGAAGGAAAATGACATTGACCTACTTACAAGATCACAGGGAAAAATATGTCAAGCAACTTCTGAAGAAGAATCAAAAAGCATAGAATCTTATAATAATATTTTGCTGGTAATTTCAACAGATGGAGCCAACAAAGTTTGTGAGGGAATGTTTTTAGTGCAATATAATATTTAATGAGAATATTTTGCTATGACTGCTTAAATATTCAGGTGAGCGATACAGGCCCTCTTGGGCCTCTTGTTTAAAAACGTAATCAAAACATTGACATTTGAGGTTGAATTACGTTTTCTTGTGCTATTTGAACTTAAAAACTAATTATCTGTAGACAAAAAATGGTGCATGGCTATCTATTCTAAGACTACATCATTTTTATAACTGATTTGTTGACACATTTATTTATTTATAATTAATTTTGCAAAAAGTGATCCGATTTGGGTACCGATCCGATTTGGGTACTGCCACCTTATATTAACAGGCCTAGGGTATACCCCCTAGAGAAAAAACAACCCTTAAAATGACATATTTTTAGTTTCAGATGAAATCATTAGATCTCAGATTATAGGAATAGTTTAGCAAATTCACTGGTTTTAAATGCTAAATTTAAGGGTCCAAAACTGGGAGTGTTCACAAGTATGGAAATCTTCAGCTGGGCCCAGTGAACATTCTGCTGAACCTTGAAGTCACTATCCCACTTGACAGATTTGATTATCTCCCTTCACTCGGTGTATAATTAGCATATTTGATTTAATATTGGGTTGTTTTAAATAACTTATTTTGATGGGGTGGATATTGTATATCTCTGCGCCTATCAATTTTTTTTTTAAGTGGACTTGGTGGACATATAAGAATGATCTTGACTTCTATTCACCCAAAATGTTTCTGAATTAATTTTGTTTATGTGAAATGTGGTAAACACTAGAAGCTGTCTTAGAAAATATTTTTAAAAAATCATGAATAAAACAAAACCTTGGTTTCTGTGATACAACAGGTTACATCATCTTGATACAATATTAACAGCCTACAGCCATTGGTTTGTTTTCACACCAATTCTCATATATAACACTCAGGCCTTCCAAGCAGGTGCCCGGGGTTCGATCCCCGAAGTCGGCGTACGCATAGAATATTAGAGAAAGTGTTTTTCTCCTGCCCACACAACTCCAACAACCCAGGTGGAGTATAAAATGGTCTGGGGTGGGTGTTGCGGTATCTTTGCTGTAGCATTCAAGTGAGGTGGCACTATAAATGATATCGTTGGAAGCACGGTCCCACTACAAACAGAACACAATACATCTCAAGCACACACACAGGCATACACACATAGGGAGATGTTAGCCAGGTGGCATAGGACTAGTAGTTAGCGCCTGATAAGGCAGCTCCTGCGAATTCCTCAATATTGTATTGATTAATATATATATATGCTAATTGTATTGACTGTATAAAACTGTATATCTATGTACTGTAAAGCGCTTTAGAGTGGCTTATGTTAGCTAGATAGGACGCTATATCAAATGTTGTATATTCATTTTTTATTTATTTATTCAACCATCGAAACTGATGAAACCATCAAAGTTTTGCAGAAGGGTACTCCTATTACTTAAGAGGCCGCTGGTCGGCCTTTTTTCTATCATACATGATTTTGCCAACTGCCTATCTAAAGTATCTCACCATGTAAACCTCTAACACTGTTGGGCTGAGGCGCTCATTACTTACTTATGAAGTTAGTTGTACAAAGGTGAGAGACACATCCCTCAATAGATAGTGACATATACCTATACAGTACATGTTATCTGTCAGATGCTGATCTCATCTAAACATACTCCCTACACACCAAGGATGGCACAAGTACATTAAAGGTGTCTTAATTCTCTCTGATGGTGAAGATTTGATAGTATGGTGGTTTATCCATCTATATATAGCTAGCTCAAAATTATCTATCCTTTTCCACCGATTTTGACATGTTTTGACGGTGTGATTGTCCCAGGGGGAGCAGGAGAGTACTGGCATATATAAATGTGAAATTATGCAATACTTCAGGGTGTTTTGATGTGGTCAGAGTGTCTGTCTTACATCACAGAGGTTATAAGGATCAAAGTTATTCCTTGTTTCTTTCCACAGGCACTTCCGTGCATTTATCTGTAGAAAAGTGATTTTATAAATTCAATAATGTTGCTAGATTCTGAAAATCATACAGAGGTCCAAGCAGTCTGGGTTTCTTTTGAGGATTAACATTCTGAAGAAATGGGTCATTATATGATTGTGTTAATTATACAATTGTAAAAAAGCATGCTGATAGATCCCAGGCTTTCTTGAGAAAGATTTGCATGTTTTAAACTGGAACTGTCTTTTCCTTGCATCCTTCCAAACCATTTACCAGTCCTCTTTTTACTGAAAATTAGGACTGGTGAAAATGTTAAGCCTTTTTTCAACATTAATGAATTGATGTATAATTTAAAGGTATACAATTTTGGTTTATCTCCCTTTGATGATTTCTTATCCACAGGCTGGTCTGAGGGAGCTAGATGTGTCACTTCTTTGCCAGCTATGGTCGTTGAACGATGCTATCCAGGAGTATAAGGTAGCAGTACAAGATCGGTATTCAGAAACCAACTCGGAATATTCATGGGGCATGAACAGCCGCACCAGTAGCATTGGGAGCTTCGACGACTATGATTGGAATGCAGACATCTACCTAAAACCTGACGGCTATGTGGACAGCTCCCTTCATGGAAGTACATCCAGTCTTTTACAACAGATCAACGAACTTAAGGAACGTGCCGAATCTGAATTTATGTGACTTTGACCAACTTAAGTAATAATTAGGTTAGGGCTCCAGTAGTTGTAAGATAGGGTGCCCTTTATGGACAACACTTAGCATATCTTGTATTGTCTCATCAGTGTAAGCAAAGGTGATGCTTACTTTTGTTACTCGTTTTAAACAAAAATAGTCTTTTCCAAAGTTAAGGTAGCCAATCCACATTTTAATGAGGGATAGATTGGGTATACTGTACATGTTTTGTGGAAAAGTGTAGTGTCTAGAATTGAAAGGTGATCAATGATCTTTTTTTTTTTATTTTTTTTCCCCCAAATAAATTTTATTATCACATAATATGCAATATATAGTCATATGTTTTCTGGTAATTTTGATAAGATATCAGTGTTCTATTTACACTTTGACCTTCCCTCCTATTAGTAGATGAAAAGAACCAGAACATTAAATGTTTAAAATTAACCACATCCATTTCATATATATATGTGACCAACTATTTCTACAAACTTTGACATTGTTCCTGGTTCATTTCAATCTATGGTATTTCCTTTAGTTTCTGTTATGGACCTTGCATGGTATTGTATGAATTCGTCTCCATAAATATATTATTTAATATATCTTTTGTACTGAATTGTCAAGTCTTGCCCCTGTAAAGTTACCCACAATAAATGTCTCAATTTTCTTATTGTAATTTTATATCTTTTAGAACATTTTTTTTTCTTTTTTAGAAAAATGGATTTTTGAATTATACTTATAGAATTTTAACTGGGTTGTTAAACACTGGATGGTATTGTATAACATATAACAAGATCTAATATATTGATTTGCATGTTATTCAACTTTATTTTTTGTCTGTCGTGTCATCTGGCAAATTAGGAAGGACTGCAGGGGAAATATTTTTTTCAAGTAGAGGTACCCATTGGTAAATGAAGTAAGATTAACATTGATTTAGATGATAGTAAATGGTATTGGGGTTGCTTGGTTGTGTGAGATTAGTTTGAGAAGGAGTTGAGAGGAACTCCAGTTACTGACCTGGGTATTTTACATTCCCTATCTTACACTGCAGGGTGGGCTGATACTCCAAATCAGACAATTCTTTGTTGGTATAACGTTAGTGTTGTTTAACATGGTATTATTAGTTCTGTACATTAACATATATATATTTATACATTTATATTTTTAACAAATTGTTAATATTTATGTTTTCTTGATATTTCATTCATGATTGTTGATGAAGACACGTTATTAGTGCTGTGTGTGTTGAAGTTCAGGAGTGTACAGTTTTGATTATATTGAATTGTAAATTACATTAAAATTTCCAGTATAGTGTGCTTTGGTGATACACTGTGATGAGCTTTGGTGATAAAATGCACTCATGGTGAGTGAACACTAGTGAACTAAGGTGATACACTAGTGGGCTTGGTGATGAACTGTTTCTACTTGCAGTAAGTGTACATTTTAGTGAGCTTTGGCAATACACTGTTGTGAGATTTGGTAATACACTGTTGTGAGCTTTGGTGATCCACTGTTGTGAGATTTGGTTGGCTTTGGTTGTAATCATGGTGAGTGAACACTAGTGAACTAAGGCGATACACTAATGGGATTAGTAATAAACTGTTTCTACTTGCTTTGAGTGTCCATTTTAGTGAGCTTTGGTGGTAAACTGTTGTGAGCTTTGGTGATACACTGTTGTAATATTGGTGAGTGAACACTAGTGAACTGAGGTGATACACTAGTGAGCTTGGTGATGAGCTGTTTCTACTTACAGTGAGTGTACATTTTAGTGAGCTTTGGTGCTACACTGTTGTACTTATAATGAGTATGTTTTATGGGCCATTTGGTGATACAGATTTGCCTCACTGTGAGTTTATAGTTCAGTGAGCTTTGGAAAAAAACTTGATTTGATGATAATGGAGAGTTGTATAACATTTTTACTGTTGATAAGGTGCTGTTTGGATACATTAGGGTAGAGACATGTACATGGTGTTTGCGAGAAGTGCTGCTTTTTTTCTATTACTGGAGGGTGAACTATTTTTGACTTGTACTGGAGAGTGAACTATTTTTGACTTGTACTTAATAGTGAACTATTTTGTTTTTAGGGACAAAAAGATTCACTCATCAATGGGTGCATCACAGTTATTCAACACACGATTCGATTCACAACACAAACATATTTACATTATATATCAATAATTTAGGAATTGATATTGGTCCATAGAAATACCCTCTCAGACCAGTGTGATTGAACTATCAATAGAGTGGCACTAATGATCCATATTGTAATCATTTGGGAACACTTTTGTTCATGATTACATTGTATGTGTCGAGCGACTTATTTCGGAATCTCAACTTCACAATAGACTTGAATTTGTGACCATCCCAGCAAATACTGTATACCAGGCTATTTTCGTTGCAGTTTAACTTTTGCCTTTTTCACCCTCCATAATGAGGGCGAATTTATTCTAACCGCGAATTTAAAACGCCCAGCATATTGCATATAGTCATTAAATGAGTAGGGCAAAATTTACACTGGACAGATATGGATTTTACCAGTGAAGGTAAAAACATTGACTGGGCTAAAGTTTCCCGGTATACAGTATACCTAGAAGTGTTTTTAAAACATTGTAAAGCTGGTAATATACAGTATCAAAGAATATTGCTACAACACTATTTTATGCTAATTTACTCTCGACCAGTACTGTTATGATACATTGTCATATGCATTATTTACTTTCTAAATAATTAAAACATATCAGAATGTATATGTTATAGTAAAGCAAATATAGTGACGTGTATCCTGGTCTGTTTCATCCCCAGAGTGTGTTTGAATTAACAAAGTGCTGTTACTGTATGCATAACACTAAATGAAGTGGTTGTATTGTACATGTAGATATTAAGTACATGGTAAGGTTGATATCTGTTGATTAAGTGAAGTGCTGTTTGGGTTCGAGTGAACAAAATGAAGTGCTGTTTGAGTAAGAGTGAACTAAATGAAGTGCTGTTTGAGTATGAGTGAACTAAATGAAGTGCTGTTTGAGTACGAGTGAACTAAATGAAGAGCTGTTTGAGTACGAGTGAACTAAATGAAGTGCTGTTTGGGTTCGAGTGAACTAAAGCAAGTGCTGTTTGAGTACATGTAGTCTAAATCAAGTGCTGTTTAAGTACGAGTGAACTAAATGAAGTGCTGTTTGGGTTCGAGTGAACAAAATGAAGTGCTGTTTGAGTATGAGTGAACTAAATGAAGTGCTGTTTGGAGTTCGAGATAACTAAATCAAGTGCTGTTTGAGTACATGTAGTCTAAATGAAGTGTTGTTTGGAGTTCGAGTGAACTAAATCAAGTGCTGTTTGAGTACGAGTGAACTAAATGAAGTGCTGTTTGAGTACATGTAGTCTAAATGAAGTGCTGTTTGAGTACAAGTGAACTAAATGAAGTGCTGTTTGAGTAAGAGTGAACTAAATCAAGAGCTGTTTGAGTACGAGTGAACTAAATGAAGTGCTATTTGAGTACATGTTGTCTAAATGAAGTGCTGTTTGAGTTAGAGTGAACTAAATCAAGAGCTGCTTGAGTAGGAGTGAACTAAATGAAGTGCTGTTTGGAGTTCGAGTGAACTAAATGAAGTGCTGTTTGAGTACAAGTGAACAAAATGAAGTGCTGTTTGAGTACGAATGAACTAAATGAAGTGCTGTTTGGAGTTTGAGTGAACTAAATCAAGTGCTGTTTGAGTACGAGTGAACTAATTATAAATGAAGTGCTGTTTGAGTACGAGTGAACTAAATGAAGAGCTGTTTGAGTACGAGTGAACTAAATCGAGTGCGATTTGAGTACGAGTTAACTAAATGAAGTGCTTTTTGAGTACATGTACTCTAAATGAAGTGCTGTTTGAGTAAGAGTGAACTAAATGAAGTGCTGTTTGAGAACATGTACTCTAAATGAAGTGCTGTTTGAGTACATGTTTTCGAAATGAAGTGCTGTTTGAGTACATATCCTTGATAGTGAAGTGATGTTTAGGTACATTAGAATGATGAAGGACTTGTTGATGTCACAATGCAGATATTAAAATGGTGTTTTAACGAAATGTTTACAGGAATGACACAGCACTTGATACACTCGTAGATGGTTTGTTGATGGTGTTAATTATTCAGATCTGCTACTGTATGGTGTAAATGATGCAACAAAGACAATGGAATGTATATATCAATACTAAAGGGGGTAGTGTTTTTGTTTATTCCGTTTTTTTTGGCAATGCAAGTATGCTGTATTTTGAACAGCAAAATTGCACCAAGGACATGTAACTTATTTTTATAGGGACTTTCTGTTTCATATACAATGATTGTGAAGTCTGAAATTATCACTGACAAACTGAGGCTGTGATTTGAAACGGTTGTAGGTTTTAAATGGTGACCAGTAGATTGTTCGACCAAAGCCGTTTTCTTTTGTAATGGAATATTTTAGTTTGACCAAGTAGCTTTGACTAAATTAAACTTTAATTGTGAGCTTTTTTGAAGGTTCATCTGTCATTTGATCTTGGTAGTTATATTGTATATAAATTTATTTTGATATGAATTCAAGTGTTTATGGTTCAAATAACAATCGCCAAGGTTAAACAAAATTTTGGTTAACATGTATATAGCAACTTAAAAAAACCCATCTGTAGGTTGTGATGAATATATTTTTCCTAATATTTATCAAGTTACAGTGACTGCACCTATAGATAACCACTTGAACCAACAATGTGTGCTAATATATGTACGTCATAAAATGGCCATATTAAAACGAATCAAATGCTAAGTTTACAAAGCAATTTGTACTTTGAAACACATTATTTGATGTCATTGCTTGTGTGTACATACTATTTTGCATGAAGACAGTTGCCAAGTGTATAAAAGATTTGAATTGCTTAATGATGCTGGTTTAGTTATTGATGATTAGAGATTAGATATGATCTATCACAACAGTGATTAATGAACAGCTCACTGATTGAGATATTGATATTTAAAATAAGGTGAGGTTTATTGAACGGTGATTTATCTCATTCAGCAATTCACCCCTGAAATTTCATATTGAACTATTCCAACCATTGAATTGGAAGAATTCAAATGTCTTCAGGGGTGAATGAGTTAATATTTATTTCAAAAGCATTTTTTAAATATATAATCCCCAGTGAGGTTTGGTTTTAAATGGATGCCAGTTTCACCTCCATACCATTAATATGTGTTCACGTAGTCTTGTGTAGTGTTTTAAGTTTGTCTAGTCAGGTATATGTTGATCTTATAACTAATTCTACAAAGGTCATGTACTACATGAAAGGGGAGGTAACTATATGTATGTTCAGACAGGGTTCCTTATTTTCGGTTGATTGTCAACTTGTGCCATTTAATACATATTAATGTATTCTTTCAGTTGTAGTTCTCAACCTTAGATTCTAAAATAAACACGAGTAGAGATCTGTGTCCTGATCATGACCTTTTATAATTCAATACCAAATAATTTATACACGTTAGCCAAAATAGGTGAGATCTCCTTATGAAGCATAACAGATAAGCCTTTTGATATTTTTTTATCTACATGTACAAGAAAGGTCAATACATGTAATAATTTTTGAAATGCCACTATGAAGAGCATAAACATTGGTTGAAATTGTTGCCAGTTAAACTTTTAACCTCTTCCCTGGGAAATATTCCACCCCAAACTCCCTGTTAGATATTTTCCATCATACCCTGCTTATGTGCATGTAATTTTACATCAGACCTATTGGTATGATAGACGGAGGGGATTTCGACATGTTGGACTTGTGATGTGACCACCACCTTGTCTCTGGTTCATAGCTCCAACAGTCCTTTCCAACTGTGACATCTCTAAGAGCTTTCCCCTCGTGTCATTTTCTAACTTAATGTTACCAAAGGGACTGTGGCAATATCTGCCCCAATAGGAGGCATAAGATATATTGATTGCTCATAGGTTATGCTTGGAAAAGTAACTTAAAAAACAAAGAGTAGAATTTTACTGGTAGACAAGGTTTGGCTGATGTAAAGTGACTGTGGTGCAAGAATGCTTTCCTTTCGAATACAATTGCTTGACTACCTTGGACAATCTAAGGTACGCAGAAAGCAAGGTATACGGTAATATAAGTCTTATTATTGTAGGATTGATCGAACATGTATATACACAAAAGTAGCATTTTATGTGAAATGTAGTTAAGTAAAACTTATCATTTAAAAAACCCCAAAAACTTGCTTATTAAAACATTGAGTGTAGTATATAGAAATTAAAAAAGTGAAGATTAATATAACAGGTTCTAACTCCCATAGATGGATGTATTATTCAGATCTTCAATTTTGCAAAGTCTTCCAACAAATTTAAGTAACTTTTTATAAGGTTTACATTGGGTTTACATTTGATTTATCTTTTTGGAAAATTATATAGTAAGAATCAAAACCTACAATGTACCACACAGTATGTCCATTGGTATTCATTTTTGCTTGTTATTTTTAAATTGCTTAATTCAATAGTCAGGTACAAATACCATCATCGTTTTGTGCTAGCTTGCTTACTATTTGGTTTTATAGCTTTGGTATGGCATGTTAATTTTTAATTCGGGACCACCATGACATGTTATTGTTGTGTATATTTCTTGTTTATTAATGTTTAATAGAATTGATCAAATGTTTTTCTCACTGTTCGATTCATACATTAGAAGACATACATGTATTAAAGTTACTTGATGGTAACACAACATACTGGATTCAAACTTGTTGATTGAAAATAATGAAGTTCACGTTGTCTGTATAACTTGTATCTATTTTGACCAGTATTCCACATGTATAGTTTATCTTTGTGTATCTATAGGTGTAGGAGGATGCTTTTATTACTGAAGTTATTGTACTACTAAACATTACCAATGAGGTCATTCTTAAAATAGTGTTGTTGGCTGTGCAATGCCTTACACTATAGAGGCTGAATATGTATGTAGCATTTCCAAAATATTTATGGAGATAATTGTTTTCTTTTCATGGTACTCCAATTTTCATTTTAAAGAAAACAACAATTGTAAGGTATTGACCAATTCATTGTGTAAAACCAAATGCTACTTTCTTCTTATTTTGGCAAAAGGGAATGTCGAACAAACAGGTACTGCCCAGTTAAGTAAATATGTAGACTAGACTAGATGTGGTCATGACTGTGGCAGTAGGGCGGAAACCTACTGGAGGGAGTAGGGCTGTTACCGACTTAACAGTTTCATGGCCGGAAACTAGAGGAAACTGAAGTTTCAGGGAGGAACTGAATGATTGGAGCGAGTGATGCCAACCAGACAGTTATGACCAGGGAGTTTCCATGTTATCCAGCCAAGTTATAGATGAAAGAGCTAATGGGTTCAGACAATGATATGTAGGAAGATTATAGGAATATCTAATAAATTTTGGGGCACTTATATGAGAATTATATAAGATGCCCAAATTGTATGAATGAAGTAACAATGGCAATGATTAATCAATACAAGGCCCTATGTGGCAGGTGCACAGTGAACATCACCATTTTATCAGTGGCCTTATGTATATACCACCTACCTCTAAAAGATTGTCATTTTTGTTTTTTATCAGGCTTTTCTTTTTTGTTAAAATTACGATAATATGAAGAAAAGCATTTATTATAATTTTCTTGGGCGATACAGCTACTGCAAGTATGCTTAAGAAATATTTTGTCAGAAAGTGTGCTGTTTACCAGAATTTGTTGATGTCTACAAGAACAATAATTGTTTGTAACACCAAACCCCAAAAGTTGTTTGGATTGAAGTACATGTATGTACTAGTACTGTGCCCTCAAGAAATTGAAAGTAAAGCAAGTATGTTGTGATGTGTACTCGTGACTTTATTGGTACATACACAGCGATGTATTTTGCACTCCAAAAAAAAAGGCAAATTTTATTAACTTTTACGGTATGCTGTGTCCTTAAAAAAATGATGGTATAGCAGGCTATGCCTTCCAAGAATTATTGGCAAGCACTGTTGTATTCCAGGAGAATTTCTTGGCAAGTTGTTGCTATTTCGATATACATGTATAAGAGCATTAGAAGTTACATTATTATGATTTTATTGTGTTTTTTTGTCCTGTGTTCATTAATCATATAGCTCAACATAATACAAATAGATTTATTTATAGATTTTTACCAAATTATTTTTAATATATTCCACCACAGTTCATATCTAAATGTAATACACTGTAACTACTTACCAAGTTATACGAATATATAAAATTATGTATAATATACTTGCTATCGGAGGCACGGTAGTCCAGTGGTAGGACGCCGGGCTCATGACTGAAGGGTTGCGTGTTCAAGTCACGGCACGGCACTGTGTTGTATCTTTGAGCAAGATACTTACTCCGCTTGTTCCAGTCTACTCGGCTGTAAATGAGTACGTGGTTGGGCAGTGCTAGAATTGTTGAATGCTATAGTTGTTAGTGTCGAAATGGCAGCTCCGGCTGTATGCTCCACAGGTAGTTGAGAAAGGTATTGTCTGGTTGCAAAGGCCCTATAACCACGGATAATAAATTGTGAACCGCTTTGAGACGACCTACGAACTAGGTTGTGATAAAGCGGTATATTAGAACCTTGAATTATTATTATAAGTATTGATAAAGATACATGTTATAATATATACTTATATGTAGTGTGACCCCCTGATGCAGATTGCCTCCACATTTCCTACCCAACGAATGCTTTGTATATGTGCTGTGCTTAACCAATGACTGCCTAACATGTGGTGGAATCTTGAAAACCCGGACTTAAAAAAAATAAATCAATTTGAAACTTTCTTTTATTTCTGTACCTAAATATGAAGAAAGTTATATTAATTTTAGAGAAAATATTTGGTCACGAATGCAGGAAATTCTGCAATATAAAAAAAGTTAAAGTATCCGGAATAACAAGGTTACACAGCATCGTTTTTGTAGGATTGTTGGATGAAACGCTTCAAGAACAGGTATACTGTACCTGTAGGTTTTACATTGACCTGGTTCAATCAAATGCTTTGTTTGACTACACTGGAGTTGTAAGTAATGGTTGTGTTGCAAAACACTTGGACTGAATTAAATTGTTCATTGGACCAGACAAAAAACAGGCAACTTGCATTGTTCATTTTGTTCTGATATTCAATTGAATATGCACGGTGACTTGTTTTTGAACTGCAGTGCTAGGTTTATCTGGGATTGTGATTAAGTGGAGCTTATCACTACATAGTACATACTTGTTTGTATTTTGTGTGATTTTCAAATGCTTCAATTTGTTTTTTCTAGATTGCATCTTTTGTTTATCTGTTACGCTTATAACCAAAAAAAAAAAAGGGTTCCAATCGAGTGAATTCATAAAACATGCTTTTATACATCTACATGATTCATCAATGTGTGGTATGGGTATTAACTTTGGATATATAATAACTTTATTTATAAACATTGAATTTCTCAACATTTGAAAACTATAGCCTTTAACGTAAAATAACAATAATTACAGTGTCCCTGAAAACCGGAATAAACTCAAGTTACTATGTACACTCAGAAAGACTATTTTCTGTTTTTATAAGGTACCTGCTTTTAACTTTTTCCTGGCCATGGTATTTTCGGAGAAACAAGATAAAGGCCAAGAAAATAATGGAACTTGAATCATGTTAGAAGACACGTATTATTATGTTTTTTTTTTTTTAGAGTTTAGGAAAAAGGATACTTGAATACCCAATTAGGTGCTCTATGGTAGACATGTCCTGTGGAGGTACAATAGGTTATCAATAGAAAGTGCCTTTTAGGTATGTGCTGCAGTTTTTGTTTTTTTGGCAATATGACTTTTGATCACATATGTAGATTTTCAGATTGTTTGTTAAAAGTATTTCATCCTGTTAGTCCTTTGTGTATTAAAGTTACATACATATTTCAAGTTTTGTGTTATCTTCTTAGATGTTTGTTTTTATACTACCTTGTTCCTGAAGGCTTGAAGGTCCGCAACACAATGAGGCCATCAACTGTGAAAAATAGGAAGTTAGTGTGTCGAGAGACACATTGATGTCATGAGCAATATGTGACAATGTCCTACATGGAAGTTAAAATAAAATTGGAGCGAGACGAAGGAAGTTTTCCTCCCCACTGAGATTGAGCTGTTTGACAGGAGGACAAGAACTTACCATCTGTCATCAAACTTTGATATTATCATCTTGCTATTTGATGTAGGGACATGAGAGAAGTTCTTGACATATTGTCCAGATATACATGTAGTAGATACATCCACATATAAAAACCAACAGAACAGTAGAAGAGTACAACAAACAGAGCATAATATGCTTGCTAATATTTTAACTATTTGAAATAATTTTAAGTTTGAGCCTTAAGAAGAGCTTGTTTTTAGCTCACCTGGCATAAAATGCCTGTGAGCTTATGGTATGGTGTGTTGCCCGCCATTGTCAATATTTTCTTTGAACAACATCTTCTTAAGAACTGAAGAACTTTGTGTCAAGATATTGACCCAGTAGGTACCTGGGATGGAGTGCTATAAAATATAAAATATCCTCAAATAAATGACCTTGACCTACTTTCAAGGTCACAGGCATAACATATATAAGAGATCCCAGAGGGATCTTGGCGCCTACCATTGTACAATCTTCATTAGTTCTATGTCAGTTTGTTCTTTTCTCTTATCTGTTTGATTGAGTAATGTAACAGTCGATACACCTTGAAGTAACTTTTGATCTAAACTTCATTCTGCTGCGTTTAAAAAACAACCTTCAAAGTGAGTTTGTTGTTTCATATATTTCCTAGTACAGTACAATGTACTTAATGTGAAAGATATAGAACCAATAATTGCAGTATGAGTAAGATATGTGAAGTACTTCCTGGGAAATGGTTACAATATTCTTGAAATATCAAAATCCAAGATGATCACCAGAAGCCATCTTGTTTGTATGATCAGACTCAAAATAAAACATGCACAGCTAGAGACCAAGAAGAATCTTCAATATGAAATGTGAGAAAGATCTGTAGAGTACTTTTTGAGAAATAGTGATATCCAACTTGAACTCTTAAAATTCAAAATGGCCCACTGCACTGTCAACCCTCTTGGTTTTTCCTTCAGTCCCAAAAATTAACAGGCATAACTAAAGACCATGGGGAACTGTCAAATGAAATTTGAGAAAGAGACCTCCAGTACTTCCAGAGAAATAGCACTTACAAATTTTAACTCTAAAAATTCAAAATAGCCATCTTGGTTTTGTGATCAGTCCCAAAATCCAAAATGCATTACAAGGGAACATGGGGAACCTTCAAAAGATCCCTCCAGTACTTTCTAAAAATTCAAGATGGTCGCCTGTAGGCAGTCTACGTTTTCCATTTAGTCCCAAAGTTTGATATGCATAAAATGACCATGAGGAACTTTCATGTGAAATTTGAAACAAGAGACCCAGAGGGCCTGTATCGCTCACCTGAATATGTTTAAAATAATAGGTATAAAGTAAAGATATAGCACTCCATGGTAGGTGCTGCAAGTACATATGAAATTTCAGAAAGATCCATCCAGTACATGAGATATAGCGAGAACAAACTTCAAACAGAGCCCAATCTCTATGCCCTTAGGGGGGTCATACCCACTGTTTATACAAAATTTAGTCCCCTTGGCTCAAGGATGCTCCAGACTAAATAAGGATAAAATCCCTTAATCCTGATGGTCGAAGAAGGATTTTAAAGGTTTTACCTCTATTTCCCCTATTGGGCCCCGCCTCTCTGCCTCCAGGGGGGTTAGACACACCGTTTATACAAAATTGGATCCCCTTTACCCAAGGATGCTTTATACCAAATTTGGACAAAATCCTGTCATTCATACAGAAGAAGGTATTTGAAGAATTATTGCTGTTTCCCCCCTATTGGGCCCCACCCTCCTTTTGCCCAAGATCCTCCAGACCAAATGAGGATAAATCCCTTAATCCCTATGTAGAAGAAGGATTTTAAAGGTTTTACCTCTATTTCCCCTATTGGGCTCCAGGAGGCCTAGGGTGATGTTAGTTTGCCAGTAGGCACCTGACTGCAGGAAGTACTATAAGTTGCTACAAATAAATGATCTTGATCTACTTCCAAGGTCACAGGTGTTAAACATGTAAAACTTAAAAAACTTCTTCAGAATGACCAAGATATCTAGATTATTAAAAGGGACCCTTGGGAAACTTTCACCCTAGATTTGTGAAAGATCCCTCCCACACTTTCTAAGAAATAGCAATAACAATATTTAGCTCTCAAAATTCAAGATGGCTGCCTGTTGGCCATCCTTTTTTTCACATCAGACCCAAAGTTTGATATATGCTTAACTAGGGACCATGGGGAACCTTTACATGAAAGACTCTTCCAGTACTTTCGTGAACTATAAAGTGTCTGCAAGACATAAATGTCCCAGCTCATGGACGGGACGGGACGGACACGGGACGCGACGGGATGGTACGGACATGGGCAACACTATATGCCGCCCCATTTTATGGTGGGGGCATAATGAAGTTGCTTATGATGACAGTATCACGACACCAAATTGGTTGATGATTTTCTATAAATAACATGGCGAGATTGGCCTTGACACTGTAATCATGAAACAATAACTCATCTGCATGAAAAAATGTTAATGAATTGGTTGATGATTTTCTATATATAGCAACCTTGACTTTGGAACACCTTAAACACAAGGATGTCAGAGGTATACCCGTATTTGACCTTTGTATAAAGTTTGACCAAAATCCGTGAAAGAATGGAGTTGCTAAGTGCTTAAATTGAAACAGTTGATGATTTTCTATATATAGCAAGTGGCCTTGGCCTTGACCTTGGAACCCTGAACACAAGGATGTCCGAGGTATACCCATATTTGACCTTTGTATAAAGTTTGACCAAAATCCATGAAAGAATGAAGTTGCTAAGTGTTTAAATTGAATCAGTTGATGATTTTCTATATATAGCAACAGTGACCTTGGCCTTGACCTTGGATCCCTGAAACACAACGATGTCCGAAGTATACTCCTACTTGACCTTTGTATAAAGTTTGACCAAAATCTGTCAAAAAATGAAGTTGCAAAGTGTTTACATCGAATCGCGACGGAATGCAACGGGACGGACATGGGCAACACTTTATGCCCCCCCCCCC